CATTCTAAGAATTATATATGTATGTGTGCGCGCGCGCGCGAGCGACTTGCCTTAAGTGGTCAACGCTGCCATTGATCGCTTATTTAGCACTCAAGCACTAGGTGTGATGTTTTTGCCATACCTCGTGCATTGGAGGGCGCCTATATGCCATCTATGTGCGCCGTTTTGAACAACATTTATCCGTTTAAAATACAATCCCTTTTTTTCCCTCCATATCATATTATGTAATGACTTCAAAATTTTCAAGAAAAAGATAAGTTTCAAAATCATAATTACATAATGTATTTATGCCCTGTTTGATACACATTAAAATTTTCGTTCTCATTCTTCTACTCATTTTCAATTACATGTTCACATTAATAACTTTTCCTTTTTTTTCAACCACACACTCTCTATCAATCTACTATTCTAGAATACATTCTTTCAAAATAATGTGGCTCAAATACACCCTTAGTATAAGAGCTTAAATCTCATATAAATCTTTATCGGGCTCCAGTTCAACATCCTTTTCTTCATCTAATTTGTCATCCCTATCGTTCGATACAAAATCAACATTCTAAGAATTATATATGTATGTGTACGCGCGCGCGCGAGCGACTTGCCTTAAGTGGTCAATGCTGCCATTGATCGCTTATTTAGCACTCAAGCACTAGGTGTGATGTTTTTGCCATACCTCGTGCATTGGAGGGCGCCTATACGCCATCTATGTGCATCGTTTTGAACACTATCAATAATATAATTCAAGTATTATTCACATTACACAAGAATATTTTTATCTCTTTAGATCTCAAGAAGGTTGGGGCGGCCATTTCTGTCTCCCAACCCATCAGGTAATTTTCGCTTCTTGCCTCGTTCCGTACCCGATTAAGGTGGGGAATGACGGGGTTAGATCCCTATATTGTTTAGCGTGCCATTTATTTATTTAAATGTTTAGTTGGTGATTTTTTTTTTCAAATTGTAGAAAGATTCATATTTCCTTTATAAATGATGATTATTATTTTCTTTTTGTATGATAAAAAATTTATATTTTAAAATAAACTTAAAACGAGAGTAGTCATGGGTCGAAAATCATGTTCCTCGTACCTGTCTTGTCCCTATCTCAGGACAATGATTCTCGTTCCATACCCATCCCATGTACCCGATTAGACGGGAAATATTTGTCCCGTTAGAAGTGAGATCTCACAATATGGAGTATAACGGATTTTTATGTCATTTCTATCCAAAAGTGCTTTCAAGGTCATGACATTTTCCATCACTTAAGGGCATTATTACGTGAAAAGATTGTTGTTATTTTTGTCCCGCTCCATACCTCCATCAATATAGTCAATAATCTCAATGAGTATAATTTTAGAAGATGAAGGACGAAATGACATTTTAGACAAAGGGTGTGGACTGTAATAGAAAATGGAGGCTTTGAATTGTGGAATAAATGCTTCAAATGAAAATGACGCCCCGATTGTAATGATCTGAGCATCACGTCTTTGTCTTCAAATGAACATATAATTGTTAAACAAATAACAAATATATTAAAGAATATGACACTGGGTCCCATTGAATTTTGTGCTGAAACAGTCTCTTCAGGAAAGAAAATTCTATATGAAATTTAGTGCACCGCTCGATACTCATTTTTTGAACTCCCAAAAAAGTCAGAAGTCAGAAAGATCCAATTTTTATGCCCAATACTTCAAAAGTTCTGTATTTCTTTGCTGTTTGAGTAAATTTCAGCATCTAGGTTTTGCTCAGTTGTCTCTAATTTTCTCCGAGTGTTTTTCTTTTTCTTTTCAATTTGGAGGTTTCTGGGAAAAGGGTTTATGGGGTTTGCTGTTTTTGGTAATTTAATTGATTCCAAAAGTTCGATTTTGGTTGCATGATTTGTTTGTGAACTGGGTTTGAACGTTTTTATTCTTTATAGTCTCAGGGTCTGAACTCTTTATCATGGTCTAAACTCGAAAGAAGTTTAAGATTTAGTTTTTCAAATTTGCGTTTTGTTTTTGTGTACCCATAGATTAGTAAAACAGTAAAGTTGGTGCAGAAGATAATAGAAGTCTCACTTGTGGATTGCAAGGCTTCATTTCTATACATCAGTTCGCAATACTATGTAATTTTCTCCATGGCACTTACTTTTATGATCCTTCCATATCTTGCTATAAGAATTTGTCAATATTTGAAAATAATTATAATTTTTGGAATCTTTATTTGGAAATAGCGTTGTTATTTCTTGATTATGCTGGATTCATATAGTATAGTTTTTTGTTCTGAGTGATGGTATGTTAATGTGGGGCTTATAGATGTTGCAATATGTTGGGAGTATAGAGCTCAATTTCATTTATCCCCTCAAGTATATAAGTATTAGGCCACCCTTACATTTCTCCGTATATAAAGGGTTCTAGAGGGATGATGGATGGAAGAGAGGTTGGGCAAAACATTTTTTTCCTTCCTTTTCATTATTGTGATAAACTAGAGTTGCAAGTGAATGTAGCTATCGCACTGAGCTGAACCACTATAAAATTTGTGTGCATTTTGCTTGGTTTCAATTTTATTCGATTTATTATTGCTCTCATAAGAAGGGATTAGGGCTTAATCCTAATGAAATATGTCTTTTATTTACTTGTGAAAGATGGATGCCAATTTAAAACTTGAATGTTATGACATCAGCGAACCCCTTATTTCATTAAAGCTTCATTAAGAATACTCTAAAACAACATTGCGAATTGAAAGTAACTTTACAGTTGGCCAGGAACAGCAGCAAAGATGCCTGCTTGCTGTGAGTAACCACGCATATTGTATTAGATGGAGACTTCTTGAAGTATTTAATTTTAGTTACTGAGACATGGCAGATATGGCCTTTAAATTACACTTTCTTGATAATGATTTCTGTGCATTACATGTAGAAGAGACCACAGATGAAACTTCATTTTGTTTTCAGTAACGGTTGATTCCTTAGACCCAGGTAATAAGAAATGTTTCTTTGCCATAATTGATTCTAGCAGGTTCAAAACATAATTATGGAAGTTTCACGCTATGCAATTATGTGTAATTATGCGTTTTGCAACTAGATTTCTGAACTTTTATGTGAAGTCTTCCCTTCTAGATTTCAGAAATTTCCTCAGTTTTTTCTTTGTTTGTTAGAGATTTTTCTGGAAGCATAATAAATTGTAATGGTAAATTCTTTTCTGAAGTTAGTGAATTTGGAGTCTCTGGATAACATCCTGTTTCTCAATCAATTTGTGTATGCAATTTTTTTGCAGGGGCACAGAAGGGAACACCACCAATTCTTCTCGAATTTCTGATTACAGTGTCCTAGAGCAATATCTTGGATTTCGAATTGGAGATGCTACTAATGTCAGTCGAAGTATGTTCCTCAAATCTTAATCTTGTCTGAAGTTATTGATGTCCTCAAGTTCTTCTTCCTTGTCTCTGTGAGTGCGTGTTTCTACGCACTACATCAATGTCATGCTTCATTAATATCTTGGTGGAATAATATTCCGGAAATTTCCCCTTTTAATTGGATTGACATCCCTGATACATGCACTCCTGATTGAGGAAAATATGGTCTTGGTGGAAAAGAGGACAAATTACACTCAAGATAACTCCAAAACACGCATCTAATTGGAAAACCCTAAACACCCCATTCAAAAAAATAAAAAATGAACAATTGTTCTACAGCGTTGTGAAAAGATTTACATGTGCACTTTGATGCATTGCTTGTCCATAGCGCACTTTTGGTTCAATTATGCAAGCCAGGCCAGTAGTGTAGTCCAGCTCTCTCAGAAACATGAATTAGAGGGACCAAACTAGGTTGCAGTCCTTTAGGGATGTTTTTACGAGTTTCTAGTGTGATTGGCTTGCATTGGGTATTTCTTCTTGTAGCTTCGTTTGGTACTTTTTCTTCTTACGACAAAAGATGGAACAAATTATTTTGATACAGATCCAGTATTTGATCCAACCATCACTAGCCAAACAATGCACCCTGTTCTCCCAGCTAACACTTTTGATAAGGTAACAGTACGTTCTTTTTATTTTAGCCCGTTGCTTTATTTGATTTGAAAATTGTTATCAGTTTCTGAGATCTTCACATCTTCGTTGATTATATAGTCTCTTGCTCCTACCAACACACATTTCTCTGCCGCTCTTATGGGATCTCAAACAGTTCAATTACAAAAGGGACCATCGCAAAATCTGATTTCTGTATCTGGTGCTCAACATGAGAACTGGGGAGAGTCCAACTTGGCAGATTCCAGTTCCCATACAGATACTTCAACTGACATGGAGCCTGATGATAGAAACCAAAGGGTGATTTTTTTTATTTTTTATTTTTTGTAATTCTGACTTTCAGTTTTTAGCTTCTAGAAGTGTGTTTTAATTCTGCCTTCTCATAATAAGTTATTTATGAATTTGCATTTAAGGTTCTAGAAAAGTTTATATCTATTTAGTCAGGGAGCTTACAGTATAGGAATTCAAGTTATTGCATTCCGTAATTCTTTGGGGAAGATTAACCCTTGTTTGAGTCCCATTTTGAGAGAAAAAAATGCATTTTTGAATAGTGATTTTTGGAGAATTTGTGGTTAAAAAGGAAGAAAAAGTTTTCGATTTATGTGTAATATCATTTTATTAGAGAATGTGTGGTTGAAAATGAATTTTTGATAAAATGGGGCTCAAACAAGGGCTTTTGTTGGTAATTTTTATCAATATGTGACTAAGATGCCACTCTATCTTGTGTAGTTTGATATGGGTCAGTCCGGTGCCGTTGCAGTCTCAGATTCCAGTGGCAAATCAAAAGAAAAATCCATGGATCATAAGGTTGTTAGTTTATACTAATTGTCATTTAACTAATTTGAAGAAAAACTTGTTGATTCCTCTCACTATTATGTCTTTAGACTTTACGAAGGCTTGCCCAGAATCGTGAAGCTGCTAGGAAAAGCCGACTGAGGAAGAAAGTAGGTTTCTTCATTGTAATTTATTTGCTGCAAAATTTTGTTTTTATTCTGTTTTGTTGAATGAAACAAATAGTCTAATCATGTATAGGAATGTTGGAGTACAGTAAATTAATTATTTTCTTGTGTACTTTGTAGGCATATGTACAACAGCTGGAGAATAGCCGCTTGAAGCTGAACCAACTAGAGCAGGAACTGCAGCGAGCTCGTCAGCAGGTTGGGTTTTATTAGATGTGCTATATCAGTTTTTTGTTCCTTTGCTGTAATATCGTGAGTGGTAGTTTAAACCTTCCATATTTTCTGCATTAAAAGTTTTGATTTTTTTTTTCTTTTGTTGCAGGGTATGTTCATTTCCAGCACTGGAGACCAATCTAATGCTGGCAGTGGCAATGGTATGATGTCTTTTTTTGCTGTAGACTTGATTGTTCATCTCTTATCGATAATTTTAGATGATAAAAACCTACCCACAATATTATCTGAAAGACTTTACATTCTTTTTTAGTTGTTTTGAGCACAAGCAGTACAGTAGACCGTGAACATTTTTGTCCAAGCTTAAAAGGTTTACTTTTAAGTAAATAAGTATGTTTTCGTATAAATAGTTTTGTAGTGCTGAAATTGGATATAAGTTACTTATTTTGACAGTAAATTTAGAGCTACTTTATTTTTATTCAGAAAAACTAAATTCTCCAAACATGTTCGGAAACAAAATTACTTATCCTAGTAAAGGTCTATTGAGTATTGTAAGGTTGCAGGCAAGGAGGAAACAATAGCAAGAAGAAAAGGATAGTTGTGTATTGTTTCTTAAAGCTTTACGTGGTGCAAATTAAATACAAAATTTTTGTTTGGTCAAGAAGCTCATTCATCTGAGGATTGTATGGACTAGTTCATATACATGTAGAACATTTTGAACAATTAGGAAGTTTGTTGATCTTGTACAATGGAAATGATATGTTGAACCATTCATGCTTAATAATTTTACTGCCCTTTTTTATTTTCTAGAGAAATTTGACTATCAGAGGTAATTTTACTCCTCTGGTTATTTACAAATTTAAGTTTTAGTTGATGGATAAACAGGGAAAAAAGCACGGTGGCTGTACTTGATTGATTGTCTTGTTTTCTTTTCTTCCAATTTACTTTTCTCTTTATGTTCTTCGATATGGCTATGACGAAACTAACATATCTTTGTATAGAAACAAGAATGTGGAAATAAGAATTGAATTCTTTTCTATGTATATTTTACATTACTAAGGGCCTCAATATATAGTACAATCTGGGAATAAAAAAGGCAAGCTTCTAACTAGGGAAATACAAAATTTACCTAATCTAGTTAAGATAAAAAATCAATTATACAATCATATAAAAAATATTTCCATAACCGAGATTTCTACACTCCTCTTCAAGTTGGATATCGTAGATGTTGATCATATCCAACTTGTAGATGAAATCCTCAAAGTTTTGTCGAGGTAGTCCTTTAGTGAATATATCGGCGATCTATTCTTTGGTAGGTACATAGGTCGTACATATAATCCCTTTTTCAACCTTTTCTTTGATGAAGTGTCTGTCCACTTCAATGTGTTTGGTTCGATCACATTGGACTGGATTGACAGAGATATTGATAGCTGCTTTGTTGTCACAATACATTTTGCTTGGAAAATTTACCATAACCTGTAACTCTTCCAATAATTTTTTCAACCACTATCCTATTAAGCATAGAGTGATGGTAGAACTGTCTACTTCAATGTGTTTGGTTCGATCATGTTGGACTGGATTGACGGAGATGTTGATAGCTGCTTTGGTGTCACAATACATTTTGATTGGAAAATTTACTATAACTTGTAACTCTTCCAATAATTTTTTCAACCACAATCCTTTGCATATTCCTTGTGTGACTGCTCTGAACTCAGTTTCGGCACTACTTCTGGCTACTATATTTTGTTTCTTACTCTTCCAAGTTACTAAGTTTCCCTATACAAAGGTACAATAGCCAGTAGTTGATCTTCTGTTTTCTATTGATCCAGCCCAATCTACATGAGTAAAGGTTTCTACTTCTTTTCTTTCGTTTTTCTTAAAGAAGAGCCCCTTTCCAGGAGTACCTTTTAGATATATGAGGATTCTATATACTGCTTTTAGGTGAGTTGCCATTGGGGAATGCATGTGTTGACTTACCACACTAACAACAAATGCAATGTCAAGTCTTGTATGTGAGAGGTAGATTAACTTGCCAACTAACCGCTGATATCTGTCCTTTTCAACTTTTCAACTGGTTTTCCCATGTCTACTACTTTTCTTCCTACGTCTATAGGCGTGTCACTTGGTTTATATCTAAGCATGCCCGTTTCGGTAAGGAGATCGAGACTGTACTTACGTTGTGAAACATTGATACCCTTCTTCGATATGGTAACTTCCATCCCTAAGAAGTATCTCATCTGTCCCAGATTCTTAACTTCGAGCTGCTAGGTTTTTCTTCAGTCTCTCTAGTCCTTCTATGTTATTTCCTGTTAGTATTATGTCATCAACATATACAATGAGAATTGCTTTTGTCCCATCTTTAGACAAGTGGTGGAATATGGTATGATCTGATTGTCCTTGCTGATATCCTTGGCTCCTTAGCACCTTTGCAAACCTGTCAAAGCATGCTCTAGGTGACTGTTTGAGGTCGTACAAATATTTGTTTAGTTTACACACCCTGTTGTCTTCATACATTCATTGAAACCTGGGGGTAACGTCATGAAGACCTCTTCTTCTAATTCTCTATTCAAGAATGCATTCTTAATGTCAAGCTGTTGGAGAGGCCAATCCAGACTCGCTGCTAAGGATAAGGTAACCCTGATTGTGTTAAGTTTTGCCACAGGAGCAAATGTTTCTGTGTAGTCAATGCCATAGGTCTGTGTATATCTCTTTGCAACAAGTCGAACTTTGTACCGTTTTATTACTCCCATCAGCCTTGTATTTCACATTAAAGACCCAGTTACATCCGACAGGTTTCTTTCCTCTAGGTAATTCCACCACATCCCAAGTCTTATTTTTCTGCAGTGCTCGCATTTCTTCTAGGACGGCTTCTTTCCATTCTGGAATAGTCATGGCTTCCTGAATACTCTTTGGAATTTCTGTATTGTCAAGATTTGAGGAAAAAGTACGAAATCCTACAGATAGAGCATTATATGAAACAAATTTTGAGATTGAGTGGAAGGTACATGACCGATGTTTTTTCCTGAGAGCAATAGGTAGATCATCATCCGAGGACTCAATTTGGTCTGAAGAATTTTCATGGAGGTCCGGAGCTATCATCCATTCAAACTCTTTTGGTGCTTCGAATGTGAGGTTCTTCTCGTACTTTGATGTTGGCTTCCTTGAGTAAACTAGTATCTCTTTATTAACTTGCTTTTCTACTTCTTCCCCTGAGTTCAAGTGTCCTTTTGTATTTGGCATGTTAGAATTAGAGGACGTGGTCGAGTCAGTATTTGAGATAGGTTCAGTGGGTGAGAGATCAAAAAAACGATCATTACTTAAGAGTCGATCTTCACTCAAAGTCTCCCCTTGAATTGAGGTTTTTTTGAAGTAGAGAGTTTTCTCGAAAAATGTGACATCGAGGCTAACAAAAACTTTTCTTGTGGATGGATCATAGCATTTGTAGCCTTTTTGAATTGCTGAGTATCTAATAAATACACATTTAAGTGCACGAGGATNAAACAATACGGACCTCTGATTTTTTTTTAGTAAATAGACCCAACAAAGTCAAGTATGGTCATCAATAAATGTGACGAACCATTTTTTGTGAGTTCGATTAGGGGTTTTAGAGGGACCCCACAGATCACTATGAATCAAAGTGAATGGTGTAGATGGTTTGTATATAGATTTTGGGAAGGGAGTGCGGTGATGTTTTGCTAATTAACAATTTTCACATTGAAAATCAATAGTCATTTTATTTGGAAATATGGAAGGTAAAACATGCCGTAAATACTGGAGGTTGGGATGACCCGTTCTAAAATGTCATAACATTATTTCACTATCTCTAAGGTTAAAAGCAGAATCACATGTTACAATTTGATATGATTTACTCACATCTGCCTCCTCAAGTAGTAAAGCCCCTCATGTTTCTTAGCACTGCCAATCGTCTTCCCCGATGATAGGTCTTGAAAGATACAATGAGAAGGAAAAATGTGCAATTGGAATATTTCGTTAATTGACTGATGACAATAAGTTGCAAGATAGATTTGGAACATGAAGAATTGATTCTAGAGTTATGGAATTAGAGATTCGAATACTCCCTTTTCGAGCTACAGTTGAGAGGGAATCATCTGCAATTTTAACTTTTATATTTCATGAGTTTAAATTAGGTTTAATCGCACAAAATGTCCCTACGTTTGGCATGTATGGTGCAAAACGTCCATACATTTCAATTCTTTTGCATTTTCACCCACATTTTAACGTTTCATTGTGGAAAGTGTCATTTTCATCAATTTTTAACGTAAAATGAATAATATACCCTCCTATATAAATAAATAAAAGTAAAAGTAAAAGAAAAGAAAAATAAAGAATAAATTGCAATCTTACTCCTAAAGTTTTAAAAAAGGCAAATGAGTCCAAAATTTATGAAAATATTAAAAAAAAAAAAACAAAAAAACTCTTTCCTTCTTCTCCCTAGCCTCACTCTGCCTCCTCTACCCCCGTCGTCGCGGCCAAAACCATTGGAATCTCACCCCTCTGCAATTGAACTCTCATTACTCTCCTACATATGTGTTTATCAAACAAAGCTGAAAATCATAATTTACAACAATTTTCTTCAATAGCGAATTCGATCCCTTCAAACTCATTTTCCGTCGTCGGCGTTAAGACCCACGATCGCGGTCCACCTCCCCTAGCACCGCCTACTCAAGGAGCACCTAATGCACCTATGGGTCATCGCCAATTTTGCCAAGAAATGGAAGAACCACACTTGACAGTGCACACGAGTTAAAAACCGGTCTGATCCCCTTTCAGTTGGCATCCCTCCACAACTCTAATCTACAAATTGCATCAACCAACATGTAATTAAAAGTAAAACAACCATGGGTAAGGATTCAATTGCTTCAATTCATTAGTCAAATGAAACAATTTTGGATTGACATAACGAATTGTTCGTTCGCGCGAAAGGAAAATTTTCCATCCATTCGTGGCTCAATTGTGTCCCAACATACGAATCAACTTGGGAAAACTCAAATTCAGGCTAAAAAACATTGGGTAATCGTTCAATTGCATAAATTACAACCCCGTTTGCCAAAATTTTGGAGTCAAATGTCGCTCATCACACACCATGAAGAGAAGAGAGAAAATGTTCAAGCCAAATGATGGAGTCAATTATTTTTGGAGTCAAAATTGCAGAGGGGTGAAATTACAATGGTTTTGGTTGTGGCGATGACGGTGGTGGTGGCGGCGACGGCGGGGAGAG